TCATCGCCTCACCGAGAGGCAGATCGCAACACAGAACCCACAGTCACAGCCCACGTGGACCCGTTCCTACCTCCGTCCTCACACAAGCCCTCACTCCAGGGAAAACAGTCTACAATTATGACAGACCTGCACTGCCCACACCCCTGAAGCTGGCGCTCCAGGAGAAACAAGGTGATAAATCAAGTTCTCCCAACAGCTCGCTTCTCCACTTGGCCAGCGTGGCACCTAAGACCTACTGCTGTCCATCCCCAGCCCCTCACCACTGCTAGTGGCACCGGCAGGGCATGGCGCGGGGTAGCAGGGCCCATACAAGCCCTGCCCGCGCCGGCGGCGCACTGAAGGGCGCTGTCCATGTGCGGTTCCCCTGGCCCCGCTGCACCCACGCGGCGACACCGGCTGTGGAGGCACTGAGCTCGGGCCGCAGCACCTCGGCATCAGCGGAAGGCAGGAGGCTGTTCTGGGGGGGGCGGGGGGCAGGGGCTCCGGACACCAGTGCGTTTCTCACCCCAGATGCCTGTGCCCACTGCGGGCAGGACAGGCCCTGTTTCACAGGCAGGCCCTGCCCCTCGGGTCACCATGACAACCTACCCACCTTCGTATTTCTCAAGACTCACTACCGAACCCCGCCCCCCACAACCGAGAATCGGCTTGCCCGGGACCTATGAGCCCGGAGTGGAAAGGGCCACCGTGAACACTCGCCCTGGGCGGCTTCCCGGAGCCGGCCGCTCGGTGCTTTCTGCCCCTTCCCTGGGCCCTCACCCCGCCCCAGGCCGGACACCAGCCCTCCTGCCCTGCGCCCCGAGCTGAGGGAGGGCGTCTTCCCGCAAAGCTCTGACATCGGCTGTGGAGGCTTTTTCATGTCACTGTCTCAGCGTTCACAGGTTTCCAGAGCAAGCGCCTGCCTGAATGGGAGTTGGGTTCTTTGTCTATCAAACAGTCACACACTCACTCACAGCCTCCCTGCCCCCAGCCGACAAGTGGAAATTTCCACTGAACTCTCCGTGGCTCGCGGTGGGAGGGGGATGGCAGGGGGAGGGGAGGGGTTTGGAGCCAAAGCATCTTGGAGCCTTTTGGAGACAGAACACAGACTGTCTGGATGCCAGTCCTGGACTGTGTGGTCGGACCCGCTGAAGCCAGCTCCCCCGGGCAGTGAGCGCCCCCCCGACCCAGGCCTCTGCTTGGAGAAGCCGCTCCTTCCACATCCGCCGCTCACACACAGAAAGCCACGACCCCACTGAGGCTCGTACACACCTGGGCCCCGCCACTAAGGCAGCCCAGGCCGCTGCAGCCTCCCTGCCAGCCACGGAGAACTGCACACCGGCCAGACTACGCTGCCGGCAGGCATGGGACATGGGAACACAAGGGAATGCATGGGAACACATGGGAATGCAGAAGAACATGGGAATGTACGGGCACATGGGAACACATGGGATTGCACAAGAACATGGAAATGCACGAGAACATGGGAACACATGGGATTGCACAAGAACATGGGAACGCTGGCCGCTGGGAAGACCACAGCAGGGCGTCCATCTCCGCGGGGCTGGTGCCAGCTCTCCGGGAGCGGGCTGCAGACACATGTGGGGAGCGAGTCAGTAAAATTCCACTGATTCCCCACAGCCAGTTATTTTTATCGCTGCGCACCGTAAACAGAAGGGCAGCTCTATGCGTGCGCAAGTCTCTGCTGTTCACACCTATTCACGTCTTAAAGCAGATGAGAGAGAGGGACAGACAGAAGAAAGCCTCCCAGGGGCTTGTGTTCCGAGTCAGCGTTTCGCTGCAGCCGGTAGGCAAGGCCAAGCGGGCACCTTACAGACAACGCAGGCCGGCCCAGGGCTGGCCACGGCGTGTCTGTTCCTCCCAGCCCAGCTCTCGGGGGTCTCGGCCCAGCCCCATCCGTGGAGGGAGAGCCTGACCCAGCACATGCAGAGGGGAGGCACCGAGGTGATTCTGCTGCTAAGACCCTGCAGGACTGATGAGCACCCGCTCCCACTGCCCCTCCTGCCCGTGGCAACGGCCCTGTCTCACTCCGGAGCGGGGGGTGGGGGGGGGGGCGAGTGCTCCGCACCCCCTTGCCTGGGGGCATGAGGTGCCAGGGAGCACGCAAAGGTTCACAGGAGAGAATATCTAGGGGCCCCCACGAGGCCGAAGCAAATGCAGAGCGGGAGTGAACCCAGGCCTTCGAAGAACCCGCTCCAAGGCCTGCTCCGTGGTCTCCAGACATGGCCTACGGCCTCCACCTGGACAGCAGGGGCAGAAGACTCAACCCTCCCCCCGCACTCCAGCCTGGCCCACCCTCCCCCCGCACCCCAGCCTGGCCTAACCGTCAACTGCTCCCTGTTCCTAAACGCACACGGCCAGGGGGACAGCTGAGGTGGGAAGTGACTTCTCTGGAAAGCTGTCTCATCAGTTTTTATTAAGATGATGCCCGAGATGCCACCGTCCCTGATAGAGGAGGCCTGGCCCAGGCTCCCTCGGCGACATTTAAAATGTGCGCTGTCACCCCGAGACGGAGTTACACACGTTTCTGTGGATCCTCCTGAGAAGTTGGCCATCAGGTTGTTCCAATGGGAAACAGGTTCCCAGGACAAACAACAGACTTACAGACACATTTTCTGGAACGCTGCCTGTTTCTAACGCAGGGCTGACCAAATTAATATCTGGACTATAACGATTGCATGTTTATTTTTTGGCATAAACTGCATGCTGGACCTGATGCAATAATAAGCAAGTGGCCGCCGTCGCCCTCCGTGGCTGAGCCTGACTGTGGGATCTCTCCTCCTGAGCCCTGTCCACCTGCTTTCCTTTCAGGCCCACGTGGCCCGTTGCGGCAGCCGTGTGATGCAGGAAGGAGGGGAGGGCGGGGAATGGCAGAGGCAGTCACCCCACAGGACGGGACGTCCCTCACAGACGCCTGGTGCCCGGGTTGGCCACGTGTAGGTAAGCGCCCAACGCAACTGAAGACTGGAGATCGGCAACCACGACCATCACAGGAACCATCCTGAGACCCAGGACTCCGCACGGACACACCCCTTCTTCCGCAACATGTAAAAGTGACAAACTCAACACCAGCAGCTCCACAACACAGCGTGAGTCTCGAGTCTCGGGGGGCATCAGGGCTCATGCATTAGCCATGAAACACCGGCTCCCACACAGCAGCCTCGGCTGAGTCAGGCCCCGGCTCTGGAAGAGCTGCTGACTGCGCAGCGGCTCCGGGACGGTGAGGCCGTGCGAGCGCCCACCCTCCCTGACGCAGACACCGCACCTCGCCGGCCTGTGTAACCAGCACTTCACAGACCACACGTTCAACCAAAATACCAGACACTGATGTACCCCAGAAAACAAGCGTCAACAGAGGCTCCTCTGCACCCGCCAACCCCCCGTGTCTGTGTACAGCGTACATGCTGAGAATGTTGCTGCTCCTCTGCTGCGGGCTGAGCGGAAGGAGAACAGGAGTAAATCCTCAAGTGAAACGAGCGAGGGGCTGCAGCAGGAGCTCGTGGCCGCGCACGACCAGGGACGGCGATGCTGTCTTCTGGGTTCTGGCTCAGGCCCAGGGGTTTTCCAGGATCGGAATCTGTCCCACCCACAAGGGAGGCAGCGCCAGCCCGCCCAGCGCCGCGTGGACACAGGCTGCCCAAGGTGCGGTGCTCGGACGGCAGCAGCGCCACCCACCCGGGAGAGGCACCGCTCCAGCGGGTCACACTGACCCTCCCATGAAATCCTCCCCGCGTCCTCCCCCAGAAAAGGGCAGAGGAGAGCGCCGGCTGCGCCCCCTGAAAGCACACGAGGGGCCGACTCCCCCGGTCAGGGCCTCCCCCGGGGAAGCCGGCTCGCCATTCTCCACCACATTTATGTGCTCCTCTTCAACAAAAAGGCCAAAGGACCCACACACAGCCTTGCCATTAAACCAAACCCCTTTACGGTTAAGGTTTTTTTAATGCTACACGCACAACCTCCATCCTCACTGTTACTATGACGGTGCAAGAGGAATAGCCACTGTGCACTCACGTTGCCTAGCAACGCCTCAGGCACTCTGCAGAGATGCCTCGAGAAGCAGAGCGCAGCAAACACAGGTGCAGCCACCGGGGAGCGTGCCGGGCCCCTGGCTCAGCAGGGTTAACTGCAGTGAGAAGCCGCCATGAGCAGCCCTGCCCGCCTACCCCTGGACTGCGCGGCCGAGTGGAGGGAGACCCAGCCTTCTCCTGGACCCTCCATCGCATGAGCGACTGCCTCCACCTTCTCCACCCCTACTCCAGGGAACCCAGCGACTCGAGATGGCCTCCCTCCAACCAGAAACCAGGGTGTAAAGAAGACACCGCCAGGGCTTAGAGAAGCTTCGTACCAACTCAACCAACTGGGCTCAGAATTTCTACACAGGACCGTTATTCTACCACAGACTCAAACCCTTGGCATGTTTGAGGAAGTGGTTATATATAGGGTGTCCCAAAACAATGTCTACACACACTCTGCGTAATTAAAAAGGCCGTGTTTATTAACATACATCTCATTTCCAAACTGGAGCTCTCCGCTGTTCAACTGTGCCTGCATTTTTTGGGACACCCTGTACTATGTGACAGAAACAGTCCATTACAAGGAGTTGCGATTCGTGGCTGAGCAGATGCCGTGGGTTAGACGCTGGGGCAGTGCAGTCAGCAGCACCTCTGGCTTGTTGTCTGCAGCCCGCATGTTCACGAAGGACGCACTGAGCATGTGCATGACACGCTGCTCACGAGGTCTTTTCAAGGCCAAAGTGAAAGAAATGCCCGGGGAAAGCGAGACTTAGGGTGACAATGAAACATCTCCCACAGTCGAAAGCTTGTAAACCCGTTGCTCCCAGCACCACCTGTTTGTACAGATCACAGTGATGGGCGGCAGCACCCCACCCACCTGCAGAGCCCACTGCCCGGCTACGCAGCTGCACACCGCCGGGCGCGGGACTAGTCATTTCTAAGGGGAACTGAGCAGCACCTTCCGGGCGGGCCCAGGGAGGAACTCACCCGCCTCTGTTGTGCCGCTGGCTGTGGGCAGAGATCCGATAAGGAAGCATCCGCTCCCCCAGGTTCTCCAAGTTCCTCACGATCGCCCCCCGGTCCATCAGGGCTTCTATCGTCCGCTTCAGCGCAGCAGCAGTCTCAGGCTGTTTTGTTTCGTTTTGTTTTTAAAAAGAAGAAAAAAACACATCAGACTCGATGTAAAAACTGGAATGACCAAGTCGAGTCAGCTCTACTCAGAACAGCTCTGCTGGGAGAAACCTTTGGGTCGAAGCAACAGAAACGTTGGCTGAGACAGACAGACAGAGACTGACATTCACTGTAAAGAAAGCGAGAGCTCACAGATGCGAAGGGAAATCTGCAGCGGCCGCCTCGGAGTCCAGGGACCAGAGCAGCTCCGGGTCGGGAGGCAGGAGCTCACGGGGGCTCTTCCGAGCGCCGTGGCCGGGATGGAGCAGCGCCGGTCACGGTCGGGCCTGGGTCCCACGGCTCCAAACTCCAGCTCCAGGGAAGCGCATCCTCTTGGCAGGACACAGCCCATCCCACCAAAACCACAGCTGCGGGAAGGCTTCCCCCCAAAGAAACGCTGGAGACCGCAACCCAAAGGGGAAGATGGAGACCCACCTCTGCCCCCCGGAGCGCACACTCTAAGATAGGGGTGGGCACACACCCGGCAGGACCAGCGGCAGGGCAGCGACATGGGCAGCGCTGGCGGGGAGAGCACGGCGGCTGGGAGGCGGGTCACTCCTGACAGTGGGAGATGCAGAGGACGAGCGACCAGGCTCGCACGCAGGTGAGGGGCAGAGGGCGAGGCGCACGAGGCAGGAGCCAGGCGCTCCACGGACGGAGGTCAGGATAGCAGGGTTGAGAGTAAGATTACAATGGGTACAAGTATATAAATAATAAATGCCCGTCACCAAAAACCCTCCCACGCCATAATCCCATCGTCCAGGGATAAAGGACTTTCCGCCTGGGATGAATTCCTGCCAGGTCTCTCTCTGCACAGGTGCACACAGGAATGTCTGGCAGATGCTGTCCAGGTAACCCCAGCTCATGTGAAGTGGGTCGAGGAGGAGAGGGGTGGCAAAGAGGGCACCAGAGGACGGAGGCGGAGAGGGTGCTGCTGTCACAGCCACAGGAGCCCGAGGGAGCTGCGAGGACAGCAGCTGAGTGTGTCGGGACACGCCGAGCCTGCGATGCCGCAGCTCCTCGGGGGGACCTCGGGGTGTAGCCTAGGCTCCGAACCACAGGTCAGTTACACCCCGGGACCCCGCTGTGGCAAGGCCTCCGACGCCCAGGAGCAGGGGGTCACTGAGGAGGGGGCGGGAGGAGGAGAAAAGCTCAACACAGAAGCTCGGAGCACAGACGTGGGGGGCTAGAGGACTCGGAGTCAGAGAGGCAAATGGAAAAGGCCGGAAGGGCTGAAGGAAGACAGGCCTCGTCGCAGCAAGACAGGCAGCGGTGGCGACGAGGGAGAAGCCGCAGCACGGGGCTGAGGGTCACTTGGGAAGATGGGGCCAGCGGGTCGGCTGAGAGGTCCCATGGCAGAGGGCTCAGCATGGAAGCGCAGAGCCTGAGGGGCAGCTGGATGTGAGCCAGGTATTAGGAGAGAGGAGTCCTGGGCGAGTCAGCCGTGAGCGGATGAAATGGAAGGCGGAAGGGCTTTCAACGACAACCATGTGGCAGCTGTGTTTACTGTCCCTGCCACATGCCCCAACCGGCCCGGCGTTCTATTGTTACAGAAAGGCATTTTGGTATGGAACACCAATGCTGTTACTTAAGATATATTTAATAGAATAATTTCTTTCCTCTGGTTATTAATGTGGAGTCACTCTCTCTCACACACACACACACACACACACACACACACACACACACACGTGGGGGGCGGGGGCTCAGAGAGGCCTGCTTGGGGACAGGGCAGCGGACCTGCAGGAGGGCCTGAGGAGGGCGGGAGCACAGTGCCGAGCAAAGTCGGGAGGAGGCCCGAGGACCCCGGGGAGGGAAGAGACACCCCGCCCAGGCAGAGGGGAACCTCGGAACACGCGCCTCCCGTGCTCAGTCGGCATCGAATGACAACTGCGGGCCATGTGAGCGCGTCCAGGAAGCCAAGGAGACGCACTGCCACAGCCTTCCTCTCCGACGAGCGCCACTAACGTGTGCGCACCAGGGACGGGTGTGGGGTCAGAGTGTTTACTCCGCTCACACTACCCGGGATTTTAACACGCCTACTGGAAGCTGTTTCCATACGGAACCAACCTTATGCTAAAACAAATTTCCTAAAAACAGTAAAAACACTCTTCACACCGACACTGACTGTGGAAGGTCTGTGGCGACTACTCCTGCGCCTGCGCACACACTTCCCTGTGGTGTAACTCCCTCACATCTCACCACGCAGACATGCTCAGTGTTGCAGGAGCCTCACTGCTAACAGCAGTGCAATGTTTCATTTCACTAAAAATGCTATTTCTTGACCTGGAAGCACATCACTTATCTTGTGATGAGGCGGACGAACACTCTATCCAAATAGAAAATAAGAGTTACAAGAACAAAACAGACTTTGGTTGATTACTACTAGCCTTCTGATTAGCTACCCGAATCACACATTTTGGTTTTAGTTTGCGCTATTAAAAAGGAATGTATCTCATTACCTCTTGTCTTTTTAAATTCCAACTCAACTATTTGTAGTATAAAATAAGGAAGAGCTTGTGAGATAAAATATTTTCTGTCTAAAAAAGGGGAAAGCTACCCAATAAGAATGTAACTTAGGAAAATATCAAGCACGTTTTGTTTGACTTTGGTATGTCTAGGTCAAACCGTAAACTACTTGAATAGACGCACTCATTTCACTGTCATTTCAAGTGACCCGAAAGTTTAAAAAGGAAGATGAAGGTGGGGTAAGAAGACCTCTTGCCTATTAGGGACTCAGCTTCTTCCATGTACCTGACCTCGTCACTGTAAAGGTGGGGTCAGCAAACCAGGGCCGCGGCCAAGTGCGGCTCACACCTGTCTGCAGATAGAGCCTTACGGGAGGGGGCGCTCCGTGCAGGCAGCCCCACGGCATGTGCCCGCTTACAAGTCCGGGAGAGACCACGTGGCCAACAGAGCCTCACCTGGCTACCACCTGGCCAGCTTCTGCTCTGCACTGCAATGGCTCGAGGGGAGCTGGCCAGGCCTCCGTCCACACCGTCTAAATATACCCGAGTAACACCATGGCCTGGGCCACTGAGTCACAGACAGTCAACTCCCCACGGGATGGGTCCCCAGGCAGAACGCAGGGCACCAACCTAACGAACTCCAGCTGACTGTTCACATCTCCACAGCATTCGGAAGGGGGTCTACAAACTCACCAGTCCGCCCAACAAGCTTGTGATCCAACCAATCCAGGCCGCCAACTGCAACTTTCCTCACTGAAGTAAATGTTTAGCCCTAGCCAGTCTGGCTCAGTGGATAGAGCATCGGCCCATGGACTGAAGGGTCCCAGGTTCGATTCCCGTCAAGGGCGCGTACCTCGGTTGCAGGCTCAATCCCCAACCCCTGTCAGGACACATGCGGGAGGCAACCAATCAATGTGTCTCTCACACTCTCTCACATCGATGTTTCTCTCTGTGTCTCTCCCCCTCTCTCCCACTCTCCCTAAAAATCAATGTTAAAACAAATATCCTCAGGGGAGGATTAACAAAAAAAGAAAATTCATCCTAGACAAAATTAAAACCAATTTTTGATCTTATTCATTACTGAAACTACTGGTATTCAGTCTACAAAAGAAGACTGGGAGGAAACCCAGTAGCTAACTTCAACCATCTGCAGGGTTACTATGCAAAAAAGTATTGTATTGGCTCCCAAGGGTTAAAGGGGAATCAAAGGGTCGAACCACAGAGACACGAGCCTTCCTATAACGAGAACACCACGGGGCCATCTCTTCACTGGGCAGGAGGGTGGGCCCTGCTGACTTCTACCCGAAGTCCCTGCCAAGACTAACTTGCAGGACTACCCTGCCACCACTCATCCTCCTGAAGTCGTTCTGAAATGAAACTGGCTTTTTAACAACTACAAAGTGCACGGCAGTGAGGAGCGGGGGGGGGGGGGGGGGGGGGGGGGGGATGCTATAGGGAGAGGAGGCTGCACCTCCTGACACTGCCAATGGGAGTGCGAGTGACGACTGATGTCTCTCAGGAGCAGCGCCAACGCTGCAGCATGAGGCAGGGCGGGCCTGAAACCATCACCGGGAGGAATCGTTTCTTCAGGCTCCAGCGAAGGTTCACCCGGAAACACGCCCCTCAACGTGCTTCCTCAGGACAAGGCCTTCCCAGCTGCTCACTGTGGGGTCCACTGCCACAGGGTAGCCGCGGGGCCACGAACCCAGTCCCTGCTGTGAAGAACGTGTGACAGCCATGAGAGCAGAGCAGGAAAAGGCGGCTGAGCAGGCGCCGCTGGAGCCCGAGGCAGCCCTGCTCCCGGGACTCAGGGGAGCCCTGTCCCGACGGGGGTCAGGGGCTGCAGGCCAGCCCGACCCGAGACCCTGACGGTGGGCACCCCCCGCTCGGGGAGGTACAGGGGGTCTGCTAGGGCCGGGAAGGAGATCCGGATGGAAGTTCTGTTTGGGGTGGAGTCAGCAGGGGCGCTCGCTGTGCCTGGTATAGCTAGAAGCCATGTGTTTTTCTGCTCAAGGCAATATTTTGACTAGAACATTACAATTTCAGGTTCTTCACTCACCTACACTGGTAAAAACGTACACTTTCTGGAGGGCAATTTACCAGTAAAGACTAGTTTAAAATGTGTGCACCTTCAATCCCAGTCACTCCTAGGAATGTACTCTGAATGCAGTCACCTCCCCGGCACAGGATTTAACTATGGAAACATTCGCCGCAATGTTACTAGGACAGTGAATAAATGGAAACAGTTAGTTGCTCATTAACAGAAGACAGTTCAATGCATTATTTTCACTGACTGGACAAGTCCTATGCAGCCACTAAAACACAGGGTGTTGAGCCTTGAATACTGACATGAAAATACTTCAATAATAAAGAAATCAGCAGGTGGTCAACCTACAGCTCTTTTCCAAAGAAAAAAGTTCATTTGTGCACACACCAAAAGAAAGTCTGGATGAATATACAGCAAAACTTTATCAGCTTTCTCTAGGTAA